TCATGAAACTTTACAGGAATGTTGATCAGCATGTGTAGTTGTGCACCTGGGTATTTTTGTCTGGATATTTTTTGTATTTTCAGAGTTATTGCCCTTGACTTAGTAAAATTTTGCAATTTTCAACTTGTGTCGCATGTAACTCAAAAAGTATTTGACCTAGAGTCATGAAACTTTACAGGAATGTTGATCAGCATGTGTAGTTGTGCACCTGGGTATTTTCGTGTGCATATTTTTAGTATTTTCAGAGTTGTTGCCCTTGACTAAGTAAAATTTTGCAATTTTCAACTTGTGTCGCACATAACTCAAAAAGTATTTGACCTAGAGTCATGAAACTTTACAGGAATGTTGATCAGCATGTGTAGTTGTGCACCTGGGTTTTTTGGTCTGGATATTTTTAGTATTTTCAGAGTTATTGCCCTTGACTTAGTAAAATTTGGCAATTTTCAACATGTGTCGCACGTAACTCAAAAAGTATTTGACCTAGAGTCATGTAAATTTACAGGAATATTGATCAGCATGTGCAGTTGTGCACCAGGTATTTTCGTCTGGATTTATTTAGTATTTTTAGAGTTATTGCCCTTCACTTAGAAAATTTTTGCAATTTTCAACTTGTGTCGCAAGTTTCTCAAAAAGGATTTGACATAGTCATTAAACCTTATGGGCAGGTTGCTCAGCATATTTTAGATTTGCACCTGGGGTTTCGCTTGTGGATTTATCCAGTATTTGTAGAGTTATTTCCCTTGACTCAGTAAAAAGATTGACAAAACAGTGGCGCGGTGGGGGCACCCGTGTCCTATGGACACATTTCTAGTTCACTTTTATTTTGCAGAAAGAGTCATTCGTTTTGGCAGTTGCTAATTTCATTTAAATAGCAGCTTTATAGACAAGTAAATGCACTAAAAGACTTCTTTACGTGGTACCAATTAATATGCGTGCATCAACTATGTTACACCTAAAATATCAATGTCACTTGTCTATTGATCACAGATATACCGACAACACAGGATGCGCTATCTGTAGATCAGCACGTGGTAAGGTTAATGATATGCATGGGCTATTTTTAGATTACCGATCACCAAGACGTTATACTCCACGTTAGAATTGCGTTTAAATAAAAGACACAGTAGATCTAGATATAACTCGATCAGAGCTATGCAATTTTAACTTGTTCGCACTAATTCTCTGTGTGATTCGGTCACGATCTTTTGGTAAGTAGGACCGTCCCTTGGAGACGGAATACTACTACAGTAGCCATTCTCTATTTTATAAAACTAATAGAGACAAAAATCATAAAAGAAACTAACGTTTGCGTCTTGAACATTAGTTGAAAACACAGTTTGTACATTAGTTGAAAAAACAGTCTGTACATTAGTTGAATAAGCAGTCTGTACATAGTTGAAAAAATAGTATGTACATTAGTTGAATAAGCAGTTTGTACATCAGTTGAAAAAACAGTCTGTACTGCATTAGTTGAAAAACGCTGTCTGTACATTAGTTAAAAAAGCAGTCTGTACATTAGTTGAAAAAAAGCAGTCTGTACATTAGCTGAATAAGCAGTCTGTACATTTGTTGAAAAAAAAACAGTCTGTACATTAGTTGAAAAATGCAGTCTGTATATTTGTTTAAAACGCAGTCTGTATATTAGTTGAAAAACGCATGTATATTAGATATAAAGAAAGGCGCAATATTTTGCAAGATCCTCTGTTGTAAAATGTTATCTGTTTGTCTTTATTGAAAAGTGTTATCGAAGTTGTCCGAGGTGTTCCGAATGTTTGAATGACTCCCGCAATCGGAACATCTCGGCTATTATCACCGCCGATGGATTGAGAGGGGAATATAGTTTTTGCGGTAATTGTCCCTCCTTCGATGCTTTGTTGTCCGTCCGTCCCCAGGTATTTCGTTTCCTCGCTATTTCTCTGAAACTACTAGCTGGTATTCGACGAAACTTTATGGGAACCATCAATACAAAGATGAAATGTGCATATCGTCGACTTGTTCCGGTCAGACTCTTCAACACAGAGTTATGGCCCTTGATTAGTTATGCAGTATGCATATTGAGAAATAATCGTTTCCGAGCTATCTGTCTGCAACTACTGGCCGGCTTTTAACGAAACTTTTTCGGAATCATAAATACCAAGAGGAGATGCGCATATCTTCGCATTGTTGGTTCAGACCCTTCAAATCAGAGTTATAACCCTTGATTATTTATGTAGTATGTACATAGAGCAATATTGCTATTTCTTTGAAACTGATTATTTTCAACAAGACTTTATGGGAACCATCAATACAAAAAGGAAATTTTCATGTCATGATAAATATATTAAAAAAGCCTTATGTCTCCACTTGTTGTGTACATGGCGGTGGATATAAATTCAACGAAGTCAATGATAACCTCAGAGTAAGTTGTTCTACCATGCGGTTTTAGATGTAAATAAAATAAGTATATAAATATTGTATTGTTTACTGTTATACATGTATCTGTAAATTTACTTTGTTTAGGTGGACTTTTACTCGATACATTGGCACAAATATAGCATTAAATTACTATTTGTTTACATGTTTAGTTTCTAAGCGTGGGTAAGACAGTTCAGTATGGTGGCTGATATGTGCAATTCGTGTTTTCTCCCCGCGACCCCGCCACCCGAAAAGTCGAGAATAAACAAGTTAAAATGGCAGGGGCGCGGAGCGAAAACATGCTAATTAGAGAGGGCGCGGGGCGTAGTTTAGTTTAAACAATATTTTATTTCTATTTTACAACATAAATATATACAGTAAGCATATACAATCACACTGATATATTTCGTGGATTGGAACACAAGTCAAATGTGACTTATGTAAATTCCTTTCCACACATAATGTACCTGCAATAAAACATATGCACATATTTGGTTAGAATAATACAGAAAATGGAAATCAGATAAATAATTGAAATGAATAAATTTGTTAGAACATTATTATCTAGAGTAGTAGAATAAGAAAACTTCTGTTTCAAGATTATTTCATAATATTGGATAATTACTCCAAACAATTTCTATTACAAAGTAAAATATTGTTCTCAACTAGTATTCAATTTAAGTAATTTTTTTTTCAGATGATTTTGTTTAGAATGTTTCGAAGAAAAAAGATTCAAAAATATTTAAATAAAGTTTTGAATAGAGAATATCGTCTGCACACAATATTATTGGGAAGTGATGGACAGAAAAAAATTGATATTAGTTAGTTATAAATAAAATTTCGCCCCGCGGGGTTGCTAAGCGAGCTGTAAGAAATAAAATGGCGGGGTCGCAAGAAGAAAACACGCTAATTAGCGGAGGCGCGGGGCGAAGTTTAATCAATAAAACTTTGCCGCGCGCCCCCGGTAATTAGCGTGTTTTCGTCCCGCGCACCCGCCAAACGAAAAGTCGATAATAAACAAGTTGAATAAGCGGGAGGGAGGGGGGGGGGCGCGGAGCGAAGACACGCTAATTAGCGGGGGCGCGGGCGAAGTTTAATCAATATAACTTTGCCGCGCGCCTCCGCTTATTAGCGTGTCTTCGTCCCGCGCACCCGCAAAACGAAAATTCGATAATAAACAAGTTGAATTAGCGGATTGGGGTGGGGGTTCGGAGCGAAAACACGCTAATTAGCGAGGGCGCGGGGCGAAGTTTAATTAATAAAACTTAGCACCGCGAGGGCGCGGAGCGAGATTTAAGAAATAGAATTATGAGATAGGCGGGACGAAAACACGCTAACTAGCGGGAGCGCGGGCCGAAGTTTTATTTATTAAACTATGCCCCGCCCCAGCTCTTAAGCGTCTTTTCGTGCCGCGACCCCACCAAGCGAAAAGTCGATAATCAACAAGTTAAACTAGCGGGGGCGCGGAGCTAAAACACGTTAATTAGTGGGGGTGCTTATTAGCGTGTTTTCGTCCCGCGACCCCGCCGTTTTATTTATTAAACTTCGCCCCGCGCCCTCGCTAATTAGCGTATTTCCGTTCTGCGCCCCGTCATTTTAACTTGTTAATTCTCGACTTTTGTCTCGGCGGGATCGCAGGGCAAAAAAAACGAATGGTACAAATCAGCCACCCTAGTTCAGCGTATTCCTATTATTGTGTCCGAAGAGTGACGGAAAGGGTCGCAAAGTTGCCATTGACTCTCCTGTCGCTAGACTGGTCCCCTGTGTGCTTCTTAAAAGAACATCGCTGAAGGGAACCATAATAGGAACCAGATTATCCCGTTGCTAACTAGTATTTGGTGATGTTTTGATTTAACGGTAGGCTTATTTAAAACACGCAGTATTGTGACGTCACATAGAAGAAATTGACGTTGCGCATTAGCAACGTCAAATTGATCGAAAAAATTACACAAGCTGTTTTTTTTTTACCATTAAAGCATGGAGAATTAATGGCTAGTGAAAATCGAGGCTGTTTCGTTTGGCTCATAAGTTTAAAGAGTCTTGCAATGAAAGGGTGAGTAGAATAAATTTAATTTTCAACATTCAGTCTATATAATAAATCAACTGTTTTTTTTTTGGTTTTCAGAATCTTTAAAAATGACAGCAGAATTTGTATTGGGGGATTGAAAAATGATGATGATGTTGATGATAATAATACAAATTAGATAATAATAATAATTATAATAATGATAAATGAATAAATAAATAAATAAATAGATAGATAAATAAATAAATAATAATAATAATAATAATAATAAATAATAAAATAGTTAATAACAATAATAATAATAATAATTATTATTATTAATTATTATTTTATGATTATCATTATGATTATCATTATTATTATTATTATTATTATTATTATTATTATTATTATTATTATTATTATTATTATATTATTATTATTATTATTATTAATAATAAAATGATAACAGTTTAGTGGGAAGTAAAAATTTAAACATAAGCAGTGTCATTAACATTTCAAATAAAATAAAATAGACAATAAAATCATTAGCTTCTGAAATTTGTACGCGCAGTAAATACTTTATTTATTTTGCAGTTTGCAAGATTTCGAAACCGCTTGCGCCAAAGATACTATGCAAGAAGAGGCAAGACCATTGACCCAGAAACCCTGTTAAATGAAACAGGTACTGCCGACATGGTCGTCTGTAAGATTGCCAGCAAGTCAAATAAAGTCGTTCATCAAAACATGCCATCTGTGAATGGTATAGAAGTTTATATATTAATTCATAAATTGTTTTATAAAAATAATTCTTACTGCAGTATATTTTCTATAAGCACATTTATACAGTTTTATTATCTAGAAACGCAAAATCTACAGATGGGCTGGCTATCTGTCACTATTTTTTCACTGACAAAAAAAAAACACAACTGAAACCTAATATCTAATATTTGTATGCAGTTGTTTATTCCTTTTTTATTATCATTTCCATTCCAGTAAAAAGAAAACACAAACACAAAAAAAAAAAAGAAAAAAAAAAACAACAACAACAAAAAACAACATTTTGTATCTCTCTCCCTCACTTTATTTTGTTAAATTTTCATATTATTAAAAGTATAACAAACATTACTTGAAATTTATACAATATAACAATCTGAAAATCTGAAAGATTTTTCCTTCTTTAGATGATGTTGTTGATAATGAAAATTCAACAGTGATAGAGGTCACAGTAGACGACAAACTTGGTAAATACATGTATTTTTCCCAACTATTTTCTTATTTTGTGGAACTTTTGGTCATCTTAAATAATATCTTTTAAAATTTGGTCAGATAGTTGAAGATGTCCGTTTTGTAATCCATCAAGTGTAACATTTATTGGCGTTGCTACACCTTTAATGAACCGCAATTTATGTATAGTTTATACAGATCGTGAAATATTTTGTTAAATGCTGCATTCAATATAAAACTGCATGTGCTATTAAACCGATCGTCACATTCCAAAATTATATTGATCATTTAGATATGTAATGCGACAACAACAAATACTTCTCGTTATGTGACACTATGTCATTATAACATGAAATAAAGATTTAACATATTTTTTTAGTTGAAAAATACGTGACATGCATCATAGACAAGGCAGCCGACACTCTGAGGCAGGAGTTGCCTAGCAACACAAAGACCGTGACAGTGAGGCCAGCAGACGACAACATATCATTGTCCTCCAGTATCATCAGTCGTAAGTGGTTTTGTTGTTACAAAGGTTAATCGTAACTACATCCCTATTGCCCTGGGAAGGCGTAGGATAGCTGATTTTTTTACATTTTGTCTGCCCCGCACTTCCTGTAAATGCGAATGTTGCAGCGTTTAGTCAACATTTAACCTTCTGACAGTCGGGGCCTTACCCAGAGCGGGGGCAAGTAAAACTGATCTATGCATGAAATAATGCGTTTAAATAAATTACGAATATATTTATAATTCTACAGTTCCAACAGTTGTTTACGACATACACTATCTAATGTACATGATATAATTATTTTCTTGACAGAAATCGCTGATATGGCTGTAACGGAGAGCTTGTCAAACATTGTGGCAGATGCCGACATCAACCACTCTGCTATTAGAGCTCCCAGAACTGTCACAGAATTCAAAGGTAAAAATGTATGTTTAGTTTTTTACGGCAAACCAAATATTTTAGCAATACAGTACTTCGTATTTTTTCATACATTGTAATATTATAAAACAAAATCGGCGTCGAGTCGACAAAGAGAAAACTTTTGTCGCGTTATATCTTTTTAAACAAAACCAACGGAGCAATTGTTTCACAAATTTATGAAGTGAAAAAAATAATCGTTATATATTATGTTACAGAAGCATTTGGCATAACCGGATGTGACATCACTGATGATGGTCTTCCACCTGTAAGTGAGTAAGGTAAGACTTGACAATAATTTCAGACTTTTTTCATCATATCTATTGTTGAAATATTTGGAAACAGACAAAAGTCCCTCCTGTTTCAAACACCTGACCATATTCACTGTACACAAACGCTCCTTTGTTATGAAGATATATTCTATTATTGAAAAAAGTCCGAATATGTTGATATAACACAACATTCCAATATAAATTTAAGTACATGTTTATACAAAATACATTACTGAGACAACTTTTTCCACACATTAGCAACGAGGCTCGTTGATTATTGCCACATTCACGACATTTGACGGAAATGACCGAAAAGTTGCGATCTCTGTATTTATACGTGTGCTCCTGTCCTCTTTGTAAAATTAAAGTTGCGTCAATTTCTGTTGTTCCCAAAAATAAGCAATATTGAATAAATATGTAGATTTGATCATTTATCGAAAACAAGTCTTTTGTTACCCAGTTTGTTCTTTAAATTTCAGATTAAAAGAAGAGGAAAGAAACTACGTGCATATGTGTTTATGTTGGTTTTGTTTTGTTGTTTCGTTTTGATTTTTTGTTATTTATGGTTTGTTTTGCTTATCTCGTTTTTTTATAGTATTATTTTTGTCTTTCCATGTTCTGCTCAGGCATCGATTTTATATCTTTAAATATTAATGTCATAAACATGTTTCTGAATTTTATTCTTACTAATAAAGTCCATTGAAACGTGCTCTTGTCTATAATTTTCTATCTTCCAGTGAACTGCTCATTGAAGCAGCAACAGTTTGAAACATGTCGTTTCCGATAATTCCTATAGTTTTTAGCTACACATCATATTGCAAGGAACAATACGATAATTAAGGCATGATAGACACTCAACATGTTTTAGTTTGTAATAATCTGTTCTCTAAAATTAAGAAGAGATAAAAAAATCGAAATACAACAACAACACCCCCCCCCAAAAAAAAAAAACCCAAACAAAACAACAACAACAAAACAACAACAAAAAACAAACACATACAAAAAAACAAAACAACAACAACAGGTAAATAATGCCTTTTTAATATATTACTGCCTTTGCGGAAAGAAGATTGCTAACTACATAAAGCTGATTAAGACCCCAACCTACGTTTTATGACAAGATATACACCCCATCCACCCCCCCCCCCCCAAGAAAAAAATATAATAAATCTACAACAGCAACAGAAAAACTAAAAAATTTCTTTACAAATACAGACACTATTTTACGACTTTTAAATCATTTGTATTGCAGAGAGTAAAAATCATTTGTGCGTGTTTGAAAATACATTTGTGTACATGTACATCATATAGAAAATAAAAATGAGAACGGAAGGTATGTTGCTTTGCATTTGCAACCAATTTTGAAATCTGCTTTAAACTGTAGTCCTATTTTTTCGACTTGGAACTGGTGCCATAATTGACAATTGAAGAAAAAGGCAAGTTTTACGCCATTAATAATACACACCGTATTACCGGCGGCAGTGATGGCAGATCACTGCAGTGATGGCAGATATCTAAAAATTACCGATCGGTACAGGTAGGTTATAAATTTGGTTGGTTTAACTATATTACACAAATACGGCCCATATCATTGCTATAAAACTATTGTCCATTGAATGGATAAGCCATATATTGTATGATATGTCACACTCTTTGTATTGTAGAAATGTGTTGAAACTCCCTTGGATGAATAGTGTTTGTAAATTACTAGATTCACTGGGTTTATCAAATTTTTGGATTAAATAATGTTGCCACTTCTCTTCCATTGTTTAAGAAAATTGTTAAAAATAGACTGAAAGATCAGTTCGTTCAAAATTGGCATAGTGAAATGTCAGAATCAAGTAAATGTCTGAATTATAGAATGTACAAAAGTGAATTCAGATTTGAAAAGTTTTTAGATATTTTACCATCTCATTTAGCTTTGGTACTATTGCGCATTAGATGTATGAACCATAAATTGCCTATTGAGTCTGGTAGATTTTGTAATATACCAAGAGAATTAAGAGTGTGTAATTTATGCAATAATATATTAATAGCTAGCTCACTTGGTGATGAATACCATTACTTATTTAATTGTCAATTCTTTAATACTGATAGAAAAAATATATTACTAGAGAGTATAGTACTAATGTTAATTCAATCAAGTTGTCTATCTGAATGAATAGCACAGATAGGAGTATATTGTTAAAACTTGCAGTATTCTGTAAAAAAATTATTTCAGCATTTAAGTAACTGATAACTAAGCTTATTTTCATAATGTAACACTTTCATTTTTGATTTATATTTGCCATGTAGTACATCAATATATTTTGTGGATATCTCTTTATGATATGTCATATTATATGTATATATTATTGTATATGTGACTGATGCCTCTAAGATGCCCAGCATTTTCAATAAACTGTTCAAACTGTTCAGAAAACGAAATAGCTTGCAACTGAAGCCCGTTCTAATACAATCAACTTCCAAGGTTATACAAAGTGTTTGATAAAATGGTTCAAAATTATACTGAAGAAGATCAAGCTTATATTTTTCCTCATAGACTGGGGCATACCCCAAAGAAATTGGTACAGAAATGAAATATTTACGGCCATTTGTTTTTCCGAATCGAGCAATATTTGTCTTGGAAATGATGCCGAAAATGACGTTATAGTCACACGGTATTGCTACACTGCATTTGCAATTTGTTACATTTTACTGTTTTTTCCGGGCTTGTTTTGTGTATTGAAATTTGATCTAATTGAATTTGAAACAAAATTTGGGAAAATAGCTTTCAGCAATAAACTAAGTTTGTTGTTGAAAAAAGCAAACTGAACATTAGTTGAAAAAAAATATAGCAGTCTTGCATTAGTAAAAATGCAGCCTGAAAAGACTATTTCTACATTAGTTACAAAAAATATCTATACATTAGTTGGAAAAAAGCAATCTGTGCATAAGTTGAAAAAAGCAGTATGTACAAATGTACAATAGTTGAAAAAGCAATCTGTACATAAGTTGAATAAAAGCAGTATACATACATATATATATATATATACAAACACATTCCTCCATTTACGGGGCATCGGTCTATTTGACACCATACTTGTGGGGTGTATATTTAATGTGGGGCATACATAAGGCCTCGCAACTCTGGCATGTTTAAAACGATGTATGGGGGCGTAGGCTACCCTTCTAACATAGTGCCCGTAGGCCGGTTTTAGTAGTAAATGATATATGTCCCACAAATGTATATATTTATTATGGGGTTTTATGTTATTGGTCAATATGTTTTCACCTATGGTAAAATCAAATATATAGTTTATATATATAAACTTAGTACCCCTTAGTTCTGTTGTATAGAAATGTTCATTATAGGCCTATATAGTGGCGTATATAAAAACTGACTGCATGAAATAATGCCACTCAACTCGGTCTTATATATGGGCCCCGTAAGTGAAGATATGTGTGAATATATATATATATATATATATATATATATATATATATATATATATATATTATATATATATATATATATATATATATATATATATATATATATATTTATATATATATATATATATATATGTGTGTGTGTGTGTGTGTGTGTGTGTGTATAAACAAGCTACAGCTACCCATGAAATATTATTTATTTTCATACCACCAGATGAAAATATTTTTGTTTTTAATTTTGAGAAGAAAAAACTTGAATATCCTTTATGTATTGAAGAGGAAACAAGTTTTTGAGATAACCATAACCACCAAAGAATACATTCATAGTCTATGTTTATGAATATGTGAAGTTCCGATGTCACATTTCATTAATTACAATTGATAGAAACATTCAATTCTTTTTTATTGTAATCCACAATTTTAATCTTAAGACATACACGCCAAATAAAACATTAACATAAAACCCGTAGATTAAGTTATGTAGACAAATCTACAACAAGGTGTGTCTGGTTTGTTTCAAACAGAAATGATCCAGACATAAGCAGTCAAAAAATATTTGATATTGGTTTGTGATGGTCTTACATATTTATCAGACTGACGTAAAATGATCTTTAGATAGAAAGTGACAGAAGTTTCTAGAATCTTTAATTTGTAAAAAGTCCTATAGCTATAAATATCGCTTATCCAATTAGTGGTGATCTATTTGTTAATAATTCAAATTCAGCGGAAAGGTGCCCTTAAAGGAGATACGCGATAGATCACTTGCCGTTCTTTACATAAATATCAGTCCTCCCCATGAAAAGGCCATTCAATTCTAGATTCTTAAAGGTGAGTGGTCATCATATTTTCGTACTAATTTTCATATTTAACCGTGTAGAACAAACTTCAGTAAGTTTATTTTGCATAATTTAAGCATTAATTTATCGGTAATTGCCTTAGCATTACCCTTACAAAGTCCGGTATCAGACAGAATCGTTATGCAGGTGCGATCACAAACCGGAAGTGACGTACATGTATCTCTATGTAAATTGTTGATAGTTCATGATAAGGATATTTAGGTGTTTCTCGTAATATGATTTGAATGTACGTACATATTGTGAATGAACTACTTAAAGACCCAACCTAGGTATAAAAGGGAGGTAATGGCTGGTGGGTGGTTTCCCTTGAATTTTCAAACTGAATTCAGATCAGGGAGAGATTTTCAAAAATATTTATGTAAAATGGTGATTTTTACCAATGAAAAAAATCCTAAATGAAGCCAATTGATCAATCTATCAGTCTAGATAAGAAATTGCAAAATGTATGAAGAAAAAGGTTCTTATAATTTAATATCAAATGATAACAGAAATTCAAATTTGAACTAAGGGGAGGAGTTTATTATGTAAATAATCATGTGATCACATTGTTTGTAAACATAGCAATATGATAACATGGGAATCCATGCACATGCAATAAGTAGGCCTACATGAATGGTTTACTTACTTGATATATTTTTTTCTTAGTTTTGTCAGAATAATCCAATTTGCATCAAATGAATTATAGTTTATACTGATAAAAAGTGCGTAAATCCAGTACATTTCACAATAAAAATGAAATGAAATGATAAAACTCTTGACTTGTATTTCTCACTATATTGTTAGTTTATCAATTTTACAGACACATTATATTCAAGTTATAAATACTAGTAGTAATTCTAAATGTCATCAACTAAGGTCAGAAATAGTGTCCAGTGTAGGATTGCACCAGTAGATACAGTTTCCTTACTTTTTTAAAATACAATTTTGGATTACAATTTGTCTTGTCCAACAAAAAGAGTGCTCAGAAGTTATCATTTCTTCAATGGAGAAATACATTGTTTCTAAGTCTAAGCATTGCCTCTTTACATAATTGAACAAAACTTTTTGTATCTGATTTTTATTGAAATTTTATATGTAGGTTTTTTGCCTTGACCTTTTTTTCTTCAGGACTATTCCTTCACATTTACACACAAGGAACAAAAACATTACATGCATTCACCTGAATCATTAACACCAGAATCAAATACATTAGTTTCATCCGCACTTTGTCTTGTAATATACTATATACTCAGCTATCTCTTTGATGGCACCATTTATATTTCCAGTTTTATTTGACATGTGATCTATGACCTCATATTGGTGACACACTTTTACCAATTCCAATTAGTGCGTTTAAACAGAGGTTCACTGGTATGTTTCTATTCCTTTAAGTAACAACGACAAAACAACTTATCCATTTATATTTTATAACACAAAT